TCCTTACTTAGTGGAGAAGAAAGGGCTGGAACCCTGCTGCTTGGAGAGGAGGGAAGCTATCGAGAAGGGGAGATAGATGAGCAGAACATGAAAGTGCTTGGGAACAGGAGACACGAGCACCTCTGACTGCTAATACAGGCTGAGCTGTAATATCGTCCAAGAAGAAGTTAGGAGCCCTAGATCCCTTGCAAAGACACCATGGTGAGGCGATGACCCCTTCCTCTCTGACAGATGAGGAGAGTTATTTTCTGGAGACACTGAAGCAGAGAACTTCTGTGCTCAAGGACCTCAGGCATAGCTGAGGGAGGGAGGGGAAGCAAGGTGCCAAATTAAAAACAAAAGGATGAACAAACAAACAAAAGGATAAAAACAAAACAAACAAAAAAAGGCAAAGCACACTTCAGAGTGAGACATCCACTATAACCCTTTTCCCCTTTGCTCAGCTCACAGACCATCTAGTCAGGCTTCAATCTCCTCAGCAAGAGGATGCACAGTTCTCCTCTGGGAAAATGGATCAGCCTAAGAAAGAGGATACGGTCAGTGATTATGAAGGTCCCCGCAACAGAGTGGTGTTTTGGAAGCACACAGACCTTTCAATCTGCCTCTTAGTGTCATTATTAAACATAAACAACCAAAATTCAGAGATTATAACAAATGGGAGTAGGGAAGAATCTCAGGGTTAATGATGAGCATGAAGTGAACAAGAAATGCTCAAAAAATAATTAATATACTCTAAGAGTTCATCAATATCTTACTTTTTTACACAAAAAAATTAAAAACAACAAAACAGTACAAAAAAAAAGAAAAGAAAGGGAACATTCATAGAACAGAAAACATCTGCAAGGTAACTATCTGGAAGAAATGAATAACTCAGTAGCAAGGTTGGAAAACGAAACTAAACTCTCCCAGAAAATGGAACAAAAATGCAGAGATGAAAAATAAATAAAGAGGTTAGAGAATGTCTCCAGGAGAGTGGGACAGACATCCAATCCAGCTGATAGCAGTTCCATAGAAAGCATGACAAAAAACAGGAAGGAAGAAATAACTGAAGAAATACTACAAGAAAATGGACTAGAATTCCACAGCATGAATTTTCAAACTGAAAGGGCCATAGAGTTCCCACCATGATAACTGATAAGAACTTAAAGTGAATCATCATGACATATAAAAATATGATAATAGCTTCCATGGGGGAAAAAATAGTCTACATTTAAAGGACTGACAGAGTGCTATCGAGTTCTCAGGCAGCAAGGGTCACACAGACAGTAAAGGAATATCTTATCAAACCCTGAGGAAATGGGACTTCCGCCTTGGGATTTTATACCTAAACAAACTAGCAGTCAAGCGTAGAACATATACCCAGATTTTTACGCAATGTCTGGCAGGCACACATTCTGACCTTTCTTACAGAATCTGTTTTGTTTAAAATACCAATGTGCACAGCTAAAAATATGTACTTTTCTATTTTCCCAGGCCGTTAGCAGTGGCCCTGTGTCTCAGGCTGATTAACAGAAAATCTGCTACAAAGGTTTCTGGAAGTAATCATATTTTCCTCCTAAAAGAGATTTGGCTGGCTCTGCTCTTCACCTCTTCTGCCCTATTACTGCCTAGAATTCAGGTACAAAGCTAAAAGGTAGAGCAGCTGTCATGAGACCAGGGGCCAGAAACATAAAGGCAAAAGTCAACATGTAAAGATACCAGTTATAAACAAAAGTAAAATCCTGGGTCCCTGATGGTCTCATGGACCCACTACACCAGCTACTACATGGCTTACTTCACAACTGCAGGTCATATAAAGATAAAGAAAAAAAAAATTCTGTAGTCAGGTTTTCTGTCATTTGCTTTTGAATATTCCTAGCAAGTTATCAAGTGGTTTTACCTCCCATGCACCCTTCCTCAGGAAGTTACTAGAAATGTGCTCCACAAAAATAAGGGACTAAAGTAAGAAAGAGAAAGTTACAGTGCTCAGAAAACAGGTGATCCCAGAGAGGAAGGATGCAAAATGAATTGCAAGTATCTTAGTAATAAGGGTAGTCTTGAGACCACAGCTATTACTGTATCCTAAAAAGTAAGTAGTTTATATTGGAACATAAGGATAACGGGCTCCAGGAGAGAGAACACTAAATATAAATAAATAATGGATAGATTACCTGATGTGTTTGATCATGTTGAAAGGAATTTAATAGTTCTCCCAGAAAGTCTGGAAGGTAAAGATGGGTACACAGGAAATAAAGGGGCGGGGGAGGACTTTTTAAAAAAAGGCAATTATTAACTCTAGGAAAAACAAAAAGTTGCAAGAGGTATGAAATAGAATCATAGAAAACTGTGTGGCTCAACTGTGAACAATATTTGCAAAGTCTTTATAGTGTAAACATTGAATTTTGTTTTTTAAAAATTATGGCAACACTATGCTGGCAAGTTGGAGAGAAGAGAGGCCAGTGTGGCTGAAGTAGAATGAGCAAGTGGGGGAATGGTAAGAAAGGAGATCATAGAAGAAAACAGGGATTAAGTTATCCAGAAGTTTGAATTTTCTTTCCTAAGAGCCGTAGAAAGCCACTGGAGACTTTTAAACAGGAAACCAGCATGATCCAACTCATGATTGAAAATGATGACTTTGGCTGTAGGATTGGGAAGAATACAGTGTGCAGGGGCAGAGGGGAGAGCCAGCAGACCGGTTAGGAGGCTACTCTAGCAGGGATATCAAGCTTCTACGGAAGAGAGAAAAATAAATAAAAAGGAGGGCTAGGTTGGGGAAGGCATACTTCGAAATGGTGGGAAGAGGGCAGATGGGAATACATCTTGGAGGTTGGTGGTGTTTAGAGAGAAAGGGATGACTTTCTATGTGTTAGCATGAGACATCTGGAGAGACAGAGGGTGTTCTTACCGAGTTGGGAAGACTGGAGGAGGAAGGGATTGAAGAGTAGAGGGGTTGGTGTCTAGGGTGCTGTTTCGGACCTGTTAGGTACCAAGTAGGCAACCATTTTGGGTCAGAGGGGTAAAACACAGGGAGAAAACCCCAGGATATACTCTGCCTTCAACAAGTATTAATTCCTCCTTTTCTCTTGCCAACACAAAGACACGTTTTATCATAAGCTTGGATTTTTAAGCAACCTCAATGCTATGATTTGGGGCACTGATTGATTTAAGAATTGATACTGAGGGGGCGCCTGGGTGGTTCAGTGGTTAAAGCTTCTGCCTTCGGCTCAGGTCATGATCCCAGGGTCCTGGGATCGAGCCTCACATCGGGCTCTCTGCTCGGCAGGGAGCCTGCCTCCTCCTCCTCTCTCTCTCTGCCTGCCTCTCCGCCTACTTGTGATCTGTCTGTCAAATAAATAAAAATCTTTAAAAAAAAAAAAAAAGAATTGATACTGAGAATCCAAAGATAAACAAGCTGTGAATGCTGGGATATCACAACCTATCCCCATACAAAATGTTTAGGTCTAACTGGTTTTCTGTTGGAGCCAGATCTACCCCTAGGAAAATCTCTTTCCACCAAAAGTCCCCTACTCCAAGAATAATTTCCATTAACTTGATTTACTAAACGTTTTCTTATAAAACAAAGAATATTCTCCATGCTCAATGGACTTCTATGCGTATAGAGCATATACCAAGTTAAGGACCACCTCAGGCACACTTTGAGATTGTTTGAGTTTTAAAAATTTCCTTCTCAATAAACATTCAAAAAGAGCAATTTGTACAAAAGTCTTTCAAAAACACTATTGACTACTATTTTTTTTTTGACTACTATCAACGCAGGTCTTTCAACAGTCAGCAGTATTCTTTCTTGGCTTCCCCATTGTTTTTCACTGCTTTGTGCAATGCTTTTATTTAATCATTAATTCCCCAATTGGTCTTCATTGCTGTGTGGATTTTAACGAGAGCTGGGTTTTAGCCACATTACAGTAGACGTGGTGGGGGTGGAGGGTAGCAGTGGCAATTGCAAAATAAAACGTACCATAAAGTGGTAACGGCTCATGATTGAGGCCAGTTGTTGAAAAATAAATGCCTGTTACAGAGAACCATAGAAATTGAGAGTTGGAGGCTAAGGCAAGGCATTCATTGGTAGGCTGACAGCGCCTCTAGCGGCAGAAAGACCGCGTTGACGGCGTCCTGGGGAAGCTTCTGAATTTTTAAAAAGGCACCTGCTGGGTGAGTCCTCATTATGCAAAAACCAAAAGCTCCACAAGTGCCCAATTTGAAGGGGATACGACTCGAGGAAATCTAGATCCATAAAACAGCTATAATACCTACATTTCAGTTTAACTTTGAAATGAGTTGTCACTTTACACAGGTTGATTTAAGGATTATTTATAGCCGAGAAACGACGAAGTGGCGGGAGGCGGAAAAATTCTGCTCAAGCTTGGCCGCCACACACAACGAGGGAGCGATCCGGAATGGAAAAAAAAAAAAAAAAAAAAAGTGGGGAAGAAAACTAAAGAAGTAGGTGAAGAGTCAATTTCTCAAAAAATGGAGACCGCTGGGGAACGCAGCAGGCGCACCTGTGCAGGAGCGGACGGCTCACCTGCGTGATTACGGGGCCTCCTTCAAGTCCGTGGGGGAGGCGGGGTGGAAAGGAAACTTCATGGAGGGCTGCCCCAGGACGGGGGAAGTGGGGAGTGGATTCACTAAGGAGGGTGTCAGGAAGAGGACCCGACGCACACGTGTAACTATCAAGACTTGGACACCTTGGCGAAGGACACCCGAAAGGGGAGGGGACCCGAGGCTGTGCCGTCCGGGCTACGCGCCGGCGTCTTGCGGGCCCCGAGCCAAGCGTTTCCTCCTCTCCTCCCCACCCCCCGGGGAATTAGCACCTTAGGGAGGAGGGTCTCCCCTAGATGGACCCCGCGCGCCGCCCCGCCGCTGGGCGTCCCCCCACACTACCCCCTTGAGGCGCGAGGTGCCCCCGGGGGACGACCCCCAGCCCGCGGACGGCCCCGGGCGGCGGGCGGGAGAGGAGGGCCAGGGTCCGGCGGGGGAGCTGCCGGGCCTCGGCGACTTACCTCGGGCCGCGGGGGGCGACAGCAGAGCCCCGGCCAGGGCGAGCAGGAGGGCGCGGGCGGGGGGCGCGGGCGGCGGGCGCGCTGCCATGGTCGCCGGCCTTCGGTGCAGCAGCTCTCGGGGCCGGGCGGCGAGCGCTGCACCATCCCACGCGGGCGCCGAGCGGGGGCCGGGCGGCGCGACCCGAGGGACTTCCTGCCGCGGGGAGTCAGCCCCGGAGCCCTCGCGCAGCGCCCGCGCCTCGGAGGAGCGAGTCTAGGCTTTCATTTTTTTGAAAAAGTTTTCCCCCGGTGTGTGCGTGTGTGCGCGCGCGCGCGGCGCTGGCACGAGCCAGCCTTGACCGTTGCAGTAAAAGAGCGAACTGTCCGAGTTGGCCCGGGACGAGGGAGATCGTTAGTGAGAGAAGGCAGGCCTGTGAAATGGATCCACGGCCAGCAGTCACCGTTCTCATTACCACGGAACAAATTATCGTCTCCCCCGCACCCCCGCCCGCCGGCGGCGTCCCGCGGGTCCTAGAGACCGCTCGGGGGGGGGGCCCCGCCAGGGTCCCGCCCAGAGCCGGCGCTCGCCCACTCCCGGGGGTGGTGGGGTGAGGGGGATAGGGGTGAGGGGGGCGGCTCGGTGCCGGGCGCCTCGCGGGCCGCGCGCTCCGGCGGCACAGACGTGGCTCGGTGGCGGCGCGGGCGCCCGGAGCGCACACATCCCCGCCCCGGGATGATGTGGCCGCGGGGCCCCGGGCGTCCGGCTGCCAAGAGCACACGCGGCTGCACGGTCCAGCTTTCCAGGCTGAGGCTGGAAAGGATGACTCGGCTGCTCGCTCCCCAGCTCGCCCGGAGCCCGCGCAACGCGGGTAGCAGGTCTGAAAGGCGGTCCAGCGCCCGGGCGCGCGTCCCCGGGCCTGTGCCCTCCGCCGCCACACGGACACCTCGGGCCTGAGAGAGAAGCCTGGACTCGCAGGCACGCGACGACGTCTGGGCAGGACGTGTTTGATGTGCTGCTTTGGGGTGTACGTTGCGAGGTTGGCTCGCGTTTCTTTCCCTACGTACGTAGGGCATGGGACCCAGGAGAGAACCGCGTCGTCTCCCCAACTTTCCCGGTCATGAGAAGCGTCTGAGTGCGTCTGTTGGAAATACAGGTTCCCGGGCGCCCTTCCCCGCCTGTGGCTGGAGACTCCGCGGGCCTTGCCTTAGTTGAGTCCTAGTTCTTGGCGGCCTCCGCCCTTCCCGCCAGAGAGCCTGGCAGAGCCATGATGTCCGTTTTGATAACACGACTTGTCGCCCTCTCCAAGACCCTGGGGATCGACAGCGACGCAGCTACGGTCACTGAAGGAGCGGGGTGTATTAAGGACGGTGGCCAACACCCACCAGACACGGAATTCTGTCCTGTGACTTCTCACCAATTCCTGACACAGCCCGCATTCCACGGGCCAGTTAGCCAGTGTTTGAGGAAACTCCCATTACCGTCTTTTGCTACGTCCAGGAAAGTACCTTTGCTATCTCCCACCCCCTCCCGGGGTTTTGCAAACTTCTCAAGAACCACTACAACCCTCTCACAGAAGTACGGGTGTTTAAAAACAAAACAAAACAAAACCCTGAAAGCCAGAGGCTCTGGCCAAAGGCCCCACCTTCTCTGGGCCAGAGCACCCCAACGCTCCATCCGGAAACAAGGTCTGGGTGTGAGCCCCAGTATAAATCCGGCCCTGTGTACCCCTTACCACTCTGCATGGCCTTTCTCCATTCCTTCATTCATTCCCTCAATCAACAATTAGCAACGCTGTGTTAGGGCCTTGGGAAACCAAATGAAAGAGAAGAGCCTTTTGCCTTCAAAGTCTTTCCTGTCTTGTAGGACAAACTGGTAAATCAGGCCTATTGAACAGGGTGATTGGTTACTGAACCTACTTAATAATCACCGGGTTTGGGGTGCCTGGGTGGCTCAGTGGGTTAAAGCCTCTGCCTTCGGCTCAGGTCATGATCCCAGGGTCCTGGGATCGAGCCCCGCATCGGGCTCTCTGCTCAGCAGGGAGCCTGCTTCCCTTCCTCTCTCTCTGCCTGCCTCTCTGCCTACTTGTGATCTCTGTCTGTCAAATAAATAAAATCTTTAAAAAAAATGATTAAATAATCACTGGGTTGCTAGTTACCTACCACATTATTTGCTACGGGACTTCATAGGATCGCAGTATTGTGCTAAAGTAATGTAGCCAGTGCATTATTTCCATTTAAAATCCTGAATATACAGATGAGGAAACCAGTGTCTAAAGGTTAAGAGGCTTCCCCATGGTCACAGGGCAGAGGAGCAGGTCAGAGTCCACACCAGATCTTAGCAAACGCAGCCTGTGTCTTTAACGCTTGACTTCTAAGCTTCAGGTTCAGCATCTGTTAAGTGAAAGTAAAAGACAAACCTCCCAGATGGCAGAGACCATTAAATAAGCTAATACAGTGCCCCGCCCCCAACCCACGGGATTCCCAACCATTTGTTAAGAATTCAAATCCCCTGGTATTTGCACCGGACATTATTATTAGGAAGGTCTGGGAAGTCTCAACAAGTACTCAAGTGGTTCTGATACTTTGGTTCCCAGAGCGTTCAGCAACACTGTGCAGAGGAATTAAAAAATTGTTTCCTTTGAACTCAGTGGGACAGACTAGTTTGGAGATGAGTCTAGCTGCTGGCCTCTTGAATCTTTCTGACGAGGCAAATTTTTTACTCATAATGGACCTCATATGTGCTGCACACTGGGCTGGGGGCTTTCCCTACTTTCTCTTCTGATGATCCATTTCTTTTTGCTCTTCTATACTCAGCTATTACTTTTGACTGTGGAAGTCCAGTTTTTTTGTTTTCTAACCTGAAAGCTGCAAGGCTCTTTCCAAAGGATTAAATGTACCTCAAGATTGTCCTTGGTTTGTTTTTGACTGAATGAAAGAAAACAGCCAATGCAGGAGGGAAAAAATAAGGCAGGAAAGAAAATCCTAGCCACAGTCCTGGTGTCTCAACCATCTAGTTCCCCATCTCTGTGAAGCAAGGAGTCAGGACTGACACTCCGTCCATAAAGACTTCATGCTCAACCGTAACAGCCGGCCAGGCAGAGACAATCTTCCATCCGCCAGATGGTTGGCCTTTGGACGGGAGCTCTGCCTCCTCGTGCACAGGAAATGGAAGCCGACATGGCATTCAATACTGGATTGTTAGGTCATGGTATGGGGTCAGAGGCCAGGATCTGCTCATTAAAATTTCAGATAGATGGCTTGTTGTCCCTTCCTTTCCAGAAGAATTGACCTTTGCGATACCGTTTCCTGTGGGCTATTTTTGCTGAACAGCCTGGGCATTCATGAGCAGGGCACTTACTGCTCAGCCCAGCTTACATTTCCATCAAGCCACTTTGAGGACAAGCCGATGAGAAATGGAGGCAGATTTTCCTAAGTTGGGATCTTACAGGTAGCCGCTGCTGACTTCTGAAATGGGTCAGCCTCCCTGCAGCTCGACCCTTGACGGAGCTTCAGACACAGGCTCATGGAACAGCTTTTCTCTCTCCAAACACAGTTCCCAAGGCTTGCTGCAAAAGTCAACAAACACAATCGCCCGCCCCATGATGAAGATTCTTGGAAATCTTTTTAATTCCATCTCTGGGAGGCTTGAAACTCATGACCTGCTCAGTCCTTGATAACAGGGATTCCATTTTCTTTTCACAGATCTCACTTCCAGAATCCGTGCCTCACTTCATGAGGTTTCTCAGTACTCACTTCAAGGGCACCCAAAGAAGAAGAATGCTTTGGGGGAATCAGGGGCTCATGGGCGCTCCGGGTCAGAAGGGACATGAAGATCATTTAGACCATCTCCCTTCAATCCCATCTATACTCACCTGTGGCTCCCTATCAACTGACCATCCCATATCTCCTTGTATACCTACTGTGATGGGAAACTCATTACTCAAGAGAGCCCATTCTTAAGTGTCCCAAGGGACTGACAATACCCAGAAGGAACAGAGAGTCACCCCACAGCCAGAATGCCAGTCACAGAGATAACCCCACTGGCTGTACTTGCCTCTCCTTTCCCACCGTCACTGGGGCAGGCTGAATAAACAGGCCGTACTCAGAAAAAGGCAAACTGGGAATCTCAAAAACAAACATGAACTTACAAGAAGGACCAAATATTTGAAGATCCTCCTTCATTCAAGAAATAAAGCTTAATCTTCTCTTTTCGTGTGGGCTGGGCTGGGAGGCTCATTCTAATGAATAAAATATGGCCAAAGTGAGTGAGTGAGTGAGCTCTGAGACTAAATCACGAAAGGCAGGAGTGACTCAGGTCACTCACTTTGAAGAAAACCAGCTGCCGTGAGGACGCTCCAGCAGTCTAATGGGGGCGGGCGGAGGTGGGACGTGGAGGTCTGCTGCCATCGGCCATGGGAGTGAGCCGTCTTGGAAGCGGAGCTTCCCACCCAGTCAAGGTTTGGCAGCCCCAGGAAGAGACCCAATGGCCAACCCACCCAGCAAGGCTGCTCCCTAATTCCTCATCCACAGAAACTGCATGAAATGATATTTATTGTTTTGAGCCACTGATCTGGGGGGGGTAATTTTTACACAGCATTAGATAACTAATGCACACTTAACATTCTATTTCTACCGGAAAGTTTGCAAGGATTCTAATATCAAGGGCACCTGCCTTCTTGTGTGAACTTTGAATATAAGTTATAGATGGAGGGGGGCACCTGGGTGGCTCAGTCGGTTGGGTATCTGACTCTTGGTTTCGGCTCAAGCCATGATCTCAGAGTCGTGGATCAAGCCCCGAGTCCAGCTCTGTACTAGGCACAAAGTCTGCTGGAGTTTCTCTCTCCCTCTCCCTCTTTCCCTCCCCTGCTCTCCCTCTCTCTATCAATAAATAAAATCTTTAAAAATTAATTTTAAAAAAACCTTATAGGTAGATGGCCACAGGCCTCAGCTACGTACCAGCCTAATTATCAGCAGTATCCTCCATTCACTGTCGCAAGCATCATGGTTTCTGAACAAATTGTACCACTATCCTATCTGTAGGTTACCATCTTTTGTGTCGTGTTAG